AGAGTTGGATACGCTGGCGTTTGTGCGATCGATAATATGCAATCCGCAATGTGAAAGAAAACAAAATAATCAGGAAATGACTCCTTTACGCGATCAGCCTATGAACAACGTAGCTTTGCCACGTTTGGTAGAGGCAGCAGTTTTGACAAGTGCCCTAGTATGATCTCTAATTGCCTGAAAACAAAATGAATGCCCAAATGACTGAGATCTGGGGATTCACCTGTCCCTACGGCCACCTTATACCCACACTCCGATGTAAGAACTCACTCTTCTGTTATTGTGATGACGTGTCTTCAGAATCAAGTTTCTTCGGTTCGATGTCGTTTGAAAGAAGTAATTAATGCCCACGAGGTCGCCTGTGACAACAGCAAAAAAACTTGTCGAAGTGTTTGAAGAAGCCGGTCACCCAAACAGACCCACTTTCTTTTAAGATAAATAATTGTCCAATTACAGAAACGAAGGGATGAGGTAATGTGGCTTTGCCAGACTTCACGGCGGTTCTCACTAATACACTCAGCAAGCCCCCGTCAACTGCGTCATTAATGGAGTGTAGTAATCAATGAAAAGTGCACTCTTTCTCACTGTCGCAGGTTGAAATGGTGGGTCCGTGAGTGTTCTAGATTGATTCTGCTTCTTTTACCACAACTGGCACAGCTCAGTGGTGGTTTGCAGAGTTACTGCAACCAGATTGCCCCCAAATCCTAGTTACTGGATTTAAAATTGGCAAAAGTCATCACATGACCGAGTATCTGCCAGAAGCTGCCATCAGGATTGTGACAGCCGATATAAGTAAGCACTATCCGGTCAACACGTACATACATACCACATCGGAGCCGTAGCAGAAGTTTAACTGAATTGAATTTAAAAAGGGTTGTCTGCACACTCAACAAGAAGAGTGCAAAATAACGAATAAATTGGGACACCACTTTTATTTTTAAACATAATGATTATTGGTTTTGATTACTAAGGACTTGTTACTTGCCGAATAAAGAAGATAACGCTAGTTTTAAATTCGCGGACATGAAGTCCAAATTGCATGTGCATCTTACATAATTTAAATCAACTCAGGTAGCACCAAAGGGCAACTGTTTTACCGCCTTCGATTGATGAGAGGAAAATCATGTTGCATGTAAATAAGCACTAATGAGCCGTGAACTTGAACTGAAGTAATCCCTGTAACCAGTCATTTTCAATTACAAGGAATACGGGTTCTCGTGTGCTCTCAGGAAAACCGTATTTGTTCGCCACAGCCTAGTCCATACTCTCTGCTTACTTTATTGGTGATAATTGAGCTTAGGTTTCTTTATTTTGGTCGATTAGTCAAATCTGGCTGTTGATTTAGAAGGAAAGCCAAATTGCGACAGTAACCACCACGCAAAACAGCATGTTGGTGGTGGGCGTTGATGCTAATTTTAACTTCGTGGTCCGCCTGTAAAACCTAAGGATCTTGAAAATGCATTTGTTTTCCAATTAAATGAGGAATCGGCAGAGAACCGACTGTTATCATCCACACACAACACTCACCGAAAGGGCAAGTGCACAAGCATACGAGGGAAACCTTACGGAAGAAGTAAATGGACGTTTGCGGCGGTTGCTGTGCCAAAGTGAGAGGGTTTAACCATCTGCTCCTGCTCGATCAACGGAGCCGGTTTACCTCGTTTATGAAGGTTATGGAAATAAGCTAACTCATTCACAATTTCGAAAACCTTCAGTTTACCACTTATTGTTGACTAAGGTGTGTCGCAATCTGTAAAAATCACGAGGATACGAAGACTTTTGAAGAGAAAACCGTGACCGTAGCAGCTTATAATACTATAATAAGGTAGCTAACTTTGTACAAGCGATATGTTTCAGCAAACATGAATTCATAGTAAGTGATACACGGGGCCAAACTCATAAGCAGTACTGAAAAGCATGTACAAACAAGATTCAGGAGACGTGCGCTCATTGGACTAACTGACATTAGCTCAAACGAGTTCGCGTCAACTACAACCATACTGAAATCCCCATTAGTGATTGAAGACAAGACGTAAGCCACAGAATGCATCAGCAAGTGGGCATTTCTACCACTCTATACTTTGTACAGTTATTCAAACCCTTGGTGCCAGTGCATGGGAGTCTAGTAAAGTTTTATCGAGGAGAAGCCTATGGTCGTAGATCCAAGGGGTACCCACGTGCACAGTCACATCGACAACATTTAGGTCAGGGTAGTCACGGTTCTAGCTAACAGCTGTTAAAAGGGTTTCTTTGGGTTAAATGTGGCTCCCATGGTCACCCGCTAGGCAGCAAGTGAAAAGACATTGTAGAGAGGAAGCACACCCACGTCTTTAATATGGCAACTTCGTAAATTTTAATTGTCTCCACATAATTTATGAAGCCGACAAATTTCGGGTTGACTGCTCTCTAGACACCGTATTATTAAAGCCAATTCTGTCAACACACAGCATTAACAGAACGATAACGCAATACACACGAGGAAATTACACTGGAAGGAAGGGCATAACCGGGGCACTGGAAATCCACGACATACCGAAGTCACAGCAGGCTATTCTGGGTTATGAAATAGCTAGGACGGAATGGATATTACGTTCCCAAAATCAGGGATGAGGCCATTAAAAAAATGCATACTAGCATTTATCTGTTAGAATGACGGCTACACCACACAAAAAGGCAGGAGGAGATAGGTATAGGTGTCTAATGTTTATACATACAGCTGACTTCGAATTCCGCAACACGTTAATTTGCTGAGACCCAACCTAACTCTCTACATGCTACTCTCAATTGCGGTGCTAGACTTAAAAATAAAAAAAAACAAGGTTAAGACACATCTGAATGGGTATGCTTAAAAACTGAAACAGGCCCAACTCTCACAAAAAAATAGACTAGAGCCGGGTAGATATAAAGGTGCTGATGATTTGAACAATAAAATTGTTTAAAGACTCAATGACGTTCAGGTAATTTGTATCCGTCGATTTTTAAGGGTAAAAAAGACGGAAGGCCAGATTCGCAAAAGTTTCCCTAATTCTAACCTCAATTCTGAATGCCTAAGTGATGTGAAAAGTCGTCAAGTCACGGCTACGAAATCGTGAATTTACCATATCGAGAGTGCTTAAAGATGTAAAAACACAAAACAAAATCGGATATTTGAGTTTTATGTTGCGTTTCTGATTCTTACTTCACGGGACATTGTAGGCCCATCTGGCGATAAACAACTCAGTGCCAAGCAGGGAAAATTAAACTTTAGAATTTGTTAAGTATACTTACGCCTAGACTTGCTTTTCCATCGCATACAACCACTGACATCGTGCAGTAACGGGAAATGTCAACAAAATACGAAAGCTAACTTTAATTTATTTAACGAGCATTTGAATAGAATTGTACCGCAAGGTGGACTGGGTTTGAAACCGAATAGGGATAGTGCGTTTTGCTAGAGCTTTATACCCTGAACTTTCACGTCTGCATAATGATTGGTGCAATCTTCTAATAAAAACAGGATACCCTTAAAGGATAACAGAGAATTTCGTACTTGGTAGACGATTACTAGAACAAACTATTAATTTATTGACCAGGTATGCATCAGTACTAGGAAGAGTGGTTAAAAATACGTTTACGCCCTTGAGTGCGTGCATTAGAACTGCTACGGCAACAATTTGGCAACCGATCGCACACGTTACCATTTATTAAACCTTTCCAAAAGAAATATGGAGTAAACTTGTGTGAAAAACGTTGTGAGAGCCTTTTGTTTATACCTACTTGATAGACACAACTGATTATTCGCAAATGAAAGTCGACATCGAGAACAGTAAAAGGCTCAAGGTCTTCTGACGTTAAAATTACGAGTAATCTGACCATGCCGAGCTAGAAGAGAATTGAGGTGAAGAGGAGGCTTCATTTCTAAAAGTTTATGACAGCAAGGAATATGGTGATGGACCTAGGCAAGACGTGACAGCATTGCATGTGGGTGGTCAGTGTTTGGCTACATTCGGACTACTAATGATTCAGAAATCTGGCCACGAGAAGCTTGAAGGAATGTCCAACAGGCTTCTGGTGCAGCTCTTAATCCACATACAAAGAAGATAGTCTCATTTAAAAAGGCACATCCATAAAAAACTAATGGTTAATACGAAAGATCTAGTAAACAAAGGCAAATGATGCCAATACAGGGTTTGGTCTAAAGACCAGTATCCCTGTTCTTAATATTTTGTCAGTCTACGCCCAATTGAGTTAGCTAGATACTGTGATCAACGTTGATAGATTGAGATGACCAAAATGACATGTGGTCGAGAACCATATTTCGGTAACCTAGTTGTTTTTCATTTGCTAATTTAACGCCCAACGAAACGCATTCAAACATTGGCTGAAGACCTTCTGGTTGATCAATAATGTTTATGTATTTGATTACACCTAATCTTTTCTTAAGCAAACTTCGAATCACCTTATCAAAGCCGCTACTGGAAGTGCCTTTTAGTGTGTTCATGTGCCGATAAAATGGGAAAAATAGCTGAAATGAGACTTTTTTGAACCATGAAGATCTGGTTGTTCTGATGTGTTAGTGCGGTAGCAAGGATCACACTGTCTGCAGTAAACTTGGAGAGTCACACTTATCGTACAATCTTTGCCGTGACATGTTCTCGTTCTCTGTACGGCGTGACCCCTGCTATCGCCTTCTGGAGAAAGCCAATCTGGTTAGAGAGTGTCCGGCTGACATAAGACCTATTTACACTGAAATCGAACAATGAGAAAGTAAACATTTTGAAGATTCTGATATTTGCCGTATAAACACCACTTTCGTTTTAGCAGGTGCATGAGTCGAAGAAGTCCTATTTTAAAATTAATGCCTTAGTACTAGTGACCCGGCGGAAGAACTCGGGGATCCACTTCGGTTAATTTTTGTGTACGGAAGGAAATGGGGTTCGAAATTTATTTTCGATAACGAGTTTTATGAATTGCTCAAAGTACCCAAGACCCAGGTTTACTATGACGCCCACACAAAGCTTAGTTCACTTTGGATTGCGTTCACAGACATGTAGGTCTGATGTAACGTCTCGCTGCCCGCCCAGCAGGCACTGCTGAAGCACTCGAGAACGTGTCACAGATCGGGCCTCCTTGCAGTGGCGACTAGACGGGAGGGGAGGGACGATGCGCGCCCTGCGCATTCGACTCGCGCGCGCACGCACAGGCGCGCGCACGCACAGGCGCGCGCACGCACAGGCGCGCACATGATTTCCAGGTGCTAGTGTCGGTAATCGTGTGCCCTGGCCTGCGAGAATTGTTGACAGGACTTGTGAAACTAATTTGGTGACCTCACGTGTGAAGGCCTTCATGGATAGAGGGTGGCTACATTTCAACAAATCCGCAAAACGTCGTTGTTTCGAAACGCCTACATCACAAGTGCTGGATCCGAGACAATCTTAAAATAAAAACAGCCACTAAAGCACTAGGATACCATGAGGAAATCATTTATTGAAATAGACTGCAATTGACTGCCCACATAGACTGCAGCAATGTTCTTATTTTTAAGTACATTGCCTAAATGTTTTGCAACTAATGAAACAAATATGCTCGTGTTATTAATCAGTTTTCGCTTTTTATCGAAATTTTAAATAAAATAAACTTCGGAGTTGCAGAAGTGAGAGCGGCAAGAAAGTACCAAGTTGAGCTACTGACTCTCGCAGCTACCGTTGTTGTGCTAGGAAGAAGTGTAAAAACCCAACTTTCAACGAGGTACTACGATCGGACTGATGCAACTGGAACCCTGGCAGCGCTCTCCAAGTCCCGCTTTCTCACATGGCAATTTATTGCTCAAGTCATCAAAGTAAATGCTCTCAATCTGGGGAGGGGATTTAGAATCAGCAGAATAACTGGCTAAGTAGTATGCCATATTTAAAGTTCAATTTTTTATATTAAGTGAGGTGCACAGTTTAATGCCCTGTATCGAGTTTTGTTTATTCACCTGAAAGAAACCAGAATGCAACAAACCCAATAAATATAACATCGATTTGGTGGAATAAGTTACCTCTTTTTCATCCAACGGAAGCAAATATGGCAGAGAAAACTGCGCCCAACATGTACACCTACACTGTTACAAAACAAACAACAATGTTTCAAACTAACAGAGTGTCTCATTATAGTTGTTGGCTTGGTGTACGCACATTCGGCGTAGCACAATTAGTATTGAGTGCTCTGGACGTCGCAGTGGGCAGAATGACCCCGCAATTGCTCAGGTAGGTCGTGATGCACATTGAAGGAACCACCATAATGGTTATCAAAAAAAGTGGCATAAGACAAATCTAAAACCACGAGATTGGGGTACAATCAAGCAGATCCATTTTGATAACAAAAAGCGATTTTAAATAATTTTAGAAGGAATCTTAAGTATGCTGCCCAGTCTCAACAAAAAAGTAGTGTCAGCCCTCTTTCGACCACCTGATGAAGGCATTTTAAGGAAAAGTTTTATCAGATCTGAGTGCAACGCTTGGTGCACCGGCAAAATAACTAGGGCAACAAAACTGAATCACCCCATCAGGTGTTTCCAACGTTTGATATAAAAACTGTTGTGACTAGGTGAGTCGCGTAGTACATATTTACTGCTTGTGCTTGCAATCAGCCAGTTAACTTCTACATTTTTACAAATTAAAAATGTTTAGGGACTCAAGGATAATCTGAGTGACTTGCTTCAGGAAAGCACAGTGTAAAATCGAAGACTTTCGTTCGATGCTTCCGCCTCAAAAATCTGGCTATGCATTGTTTCACATTTAACTATTTGAAGCTAACGACAAGGGAAGCTAGAAAACGTTTCGAAAGGTTGGAATTAGTCTACCTGGGGTGCAATGAAGAAGAGAATCATAAAAGCACACTAGAGCTTTTAGCATAACATTCAGCATGGCTAGAATCAAAAAAGAATTAAGAGGATCGTTTTGTTGAGGAGCCAAACGCAAAGGCATGCGAGTTGAGAGAGTGTAAATTTTGACGGCTTTTAATGAAGGAAAACTGGCAGCTGGTGGTCAAAATGACTTACAAGTTCATGCGGAGGAAAGAGTAAAAGGAAGACAGCAAATGAAGTTAGGAAAATCCTAAAGGTTTTATTAGATGTAATCTGTGCGGCAAATGTCATCATCTGCATTAATAACACTTGGGTGAAACAGGAAAGATGACAAGTACTGAGGTAACCATGTGTATTTGATAAGTTTTATTCCCCCCGAAGCACTAAAGGGAGACAAGTGCAACTGGACGAATAATGTCGACCAGAAAACAGGCCACCCATGACCGCATCACCTAACCGAATGGCAACTTTGAACCCAAAATTATTACTGTGGGGACAGGAAAAAGGAATGCCTTAAGAAATTCCTACAAAGATAACCTCAACTGACTAATTCCTGTTTTTTTGTCACGGAAAGTCGATAGACATGTTTAACAATTCTGGAGTTAGCGGAGGCAAGTATGCGGATAAATAGTGACAAAAAGTGAGTTGTGAAAATGACCCGCAAATTAAAAACACATGATTGAATTCTATTTATCCATTGTGACTAACGATTCCAGTCCTCGACATAGTCGCAGTAGAGTTAATCTATAACACATCATATAGAACGGTGTAAAAGTATTAACAATTCGCGTTTTCATTAAAAAGTGACTGGACTTTCTCAACTTTAACAGCGCTGCTCGTCTCGTAGGATCAATGAATCAAGGTAAGTAGTTCCGAGTCAGGTCACAGAATGATGAAGACCTAAACACTACTCCTGTGTTTAGCAAAATTTTGACACATTAATCGAAGCTTTCCATTTAATGGTAAATGCTGATTTTTCAGAAAATATAGATGCGGCTGCTCTTGTCAGGTGTGATAAAGCGGTGCATCCGCTTTGAGTGCTTAACTTGGGACTTAAAATGTTAATGTTTGATTTTCGTCCTAGCAATTTTGACTTTTTACTGATATGTTGCATTTATTGTGTGGGATCATGGAGCCTCAGATAAGGACTAATAAAGTCTTCTACACGAAGCTCAAAAAAAGTCCTAGAAGACAAACAACATTCTCGATTTCGGTCAGATACAAGGAAAACAGAGTCATTTTTTAGGCCTGCTATTCGCTCAGTACATTCGATGAATTCCCATTTCGTGAAGTTAAAAGTGATCACACAAAGAGTCAATGAGGCGATTTTAATGAGGGAAATCAAATCACAACTGAAGTTTGTCTGGCTTTTAGAAAAACCTAACTCCACACGAGATCAAACCATGACATTCTAACTCTTTCAAGCTGCATTGCGGGTGTTAATTCAAAGAGAAAGGCCACGCTAATTCTGTTAGTCAACTTGCAGCTGATAGATTGTCGAGAAGTCTAGCGATGGTGGGCCAAAGTTCTGATAACTTTAAAGAAACAAATTTTGAAAGTTACAGTTTCGCTGTTAAAAACCCACGTGTTTGTCAATCTCATTGAAGGTAAGTCGATCCACTACTACCTTTTTGAGATCTTGTGACAGTTGGTTGCTGGGTTGGGGAACAAGACCCCTGAAAACAAGTAAAGGACGATTAATGGCGTTATTTTTTGTCCATGTATAAATCCCAAGGTTCCACTGCACGTAAAGTGAAACTCACGTCACGAGGCTTGCGACGTGGTTTGACGTCCGACGCGAAACACAAATTTGTCTAACTGCATTGATTCCGACTATTATCGGCTATTATCGGATGATAATATGGCATGCAACCGCAAGCCTTAGTTCGAAAAAACCATGTTTACCATGTGGGTAGAGAGGAAAGTAGACTTAAAGTATTTTTATGCGCATATCCTGCGTAATTTGTGCAATAACTCGATTTTGGACACATTCAAGTTGTCTAACCTACTCAAACACACTCCATCGCTTTGTAGCCCTTCTTTAGGCACTGAAAGGATGAAAATGTGAAGCCATTTTCGGGAGCCTCTTTTTACTGGTGTCAGGATGCGGAAAGCGTCTGCCCCAAAAAGGCCTTAGGATGGGTGCTTGGGGTATGCGAAAAATATGCTTGAAGAGCATAATGTTAGGTGCCTTATGAGAAGCTGACTCCTCCAAATTTGGGCCAGCTTAATACAATGAGCGATTCTTTCGTTATATAGAGTGTACCCACAAGCAGCAACTGTCGTGCACTAAAGTCCGACTGCATTTATTTCGGTTTTTACCTTATCCAGCTATTTAAAACGCATAATTAGTTTCAAATTATTGTTGATCTCATAAAACGTCCTTCAGATTAAACCGATCGCATTTTAAGGACTTATTTTAACTATCTTTGCGAATAAGAACTTTAGCAAGCAGAACTTAATCCTAAAATCAATAATTTCACAGACTACTTGAGAATGCATTAAACTCAAGGCGGACAGCCTAGTGGAGCTGGTAATCCAAAGTGGTCAGTATCCTCTCCTCAGATTAAAATTGAAATGAATACAGGTTAAATACATTCAGAGACAAATTTCACCCAATTTCATCTGCATAAGTTAATGTGTTGGCGCAGTCATAGCGTCTGTAACTACCCATGAGGTCAATATTCATGGATAATCATTATTAGTTTCCATGTGTTCTTGCAAGAGCTTAAGACTTAGCTATGATCATAACTCAGTAAAAGGCCATGGGTGGTAGTTAAAGCTCATCCAGTGACCTGTAACGAATGGCAATTATTTCGTGGCATTGAAAAGGATTTGCTTTTTTTATCAGAAGTGGACCACAGAGAATTTTCTCAAGTATATCAAGTGTCTAAGATGTGATTTGGGGGTCGGAAGAGAACAAGGAGGAATAAAGGGAATTATTCGAAAAAGAGCCTAAAGAACACAAGTGTACCTCGAGTTATCTATCATTTTTCCTCATTAAACAAGATTGACATTTAGTAAGCTAATAAACCAGCCAATAATCGGGAGCATTTTCAAGTCGACCAAGGCTTTTCTGAATTTTATGGCGCTTTATTTGCATTGGATTTCGTGTACTTGGCGGCTACCTATGTAACTGCAATCAGTTGTGAGGTATAAGTCAAATCAAAGGACACAACAAACACCTCTCCTCACTTCCCTAATTTTTGCGTTCTACAATTTCCATTACAATTTGTTCATCTTTAAAAAAAACATTAGTGACAGTCGTCACAGTTGTCCGTAAATTTGTTAAATCTACACTCACTATTACTGGGGAAGTCACTAGTCCGCATGGCACGAAAAGTCTTGTCGCTCGTAGAGCCTAACCTGGAGTTAGCAAACAGGGCTGAAAATAATTTCCTTTGAAAACGGGAAGGAGATGACTCAGCCGATTTTTTTACCTCAATCGGAGCTGCCAGCCGAAGCACGTTTGGTTTCCTGAGGAGTGGATAAATGCCCATG